GCGGGGGCGCCTGCGGACCGGGCGGCGGGTGCTGGCCGGCGGGCGGCGGCGGCGGCGGCGGCTGGAGCTGCTGGAGCTGCTGGAGCTGCTGGAGCTGGGAGTTCAGGGATGAGGTAGCTACAAGGAGAGAAAGGGAACGTGCAGGTGAAATACACTCGGCCGCGTCCCGCTGTGTCCCCGACCGCTTGCTCCGCGCGAGCTCGGAGTTTGCTCTCTCGCCCTCATCGCTCCGGTGCGGACCGGGGTTGTGGGGCGCCGGGAGGGAAGAGTCACTTCCTAGGGGAATTGTAAACTTTGGGGAGGACCAGCGGGTCACCCGTCCGGGGTTACTTTGCAGGGTACCGTGCAGTGCGAGCCGACGGTTTCCCTGCCTTCTCTCGCTCTTCCTTCCCGCACTGGCTTGGGAAAGACACTCAACGCTTTCAAGAGTTGCTTTCGACTATAAAAGTTCAACCCGTTTACTTCTTTCGGCAAATGCTCAACCCAACGGAAACTAAGTTGTTTGTCACCTCCTTTTGATCAGCAGTGCCGTCGGTGGTGTCGTTGGCACCCGCTACTTCAGACATGTTAGTTTCAAGTTTGTACAGTTTTGGGTTTTTTTAAAATTTCAAGATGGTACATGCTTCTCAGCTTTGCAGAGATAAAAGCCTGAGTGGGAATATTTTGCCTGCTGATCAAACAGACAGGGCTCCCTTACCCCCACCCCCAAACTGGAAGGCTTAGAGAGCAGGCTACTGTGAACTCTGCAGTGGTTACTGGACACATTATCACCTCAAAACCAGGCCAGGGACTGAGAGAATGATATCATCTTTTCAAGATTCCCTTGTTCTTTGAAAAGTAGGAGTTGGTGGGCCCAGCTTCTTAAGACTGAGCGCAGTAAATTTGTTCTCATATGCCCATCTGGCTCTGAACGATTTCTGCAGGAGGAAGACAGGTTGGCCAAAGAATGATCTAGAGAAAATTACTGCGACAAGTTCACCTCCTTCTTTGCCTGAATCTCAGTCTAAAAGCTTTCCAACTAGCCTACAAATAAATATAAGGGTCGATGTTGAACCCATTGGCCTTGGCTGCAATGTCTTCCTGCTTCTCCCCTACCTAGAATTAGTCAAGATTTTCAACATTAATAACTCCTCTTTGTATGCTAACTAGTTTGGATATAAATTTAAAAAATAGAATTAAAATAAATAAATAAATAAAAACTCCTCTTTGTCACATTAAACTAGTTCCTATTTTTAAAGAAATGCTCCTTAAAAAAAAAAAATCTTGTGGTTCCATAAAGTGCTGTATTGCACACCTGCCTTCACACAACAAATATGTTCTTGGGAAGTCTGTGTACATTGATTCGTATGTTGAGGACACCTAGAGAACTTTGTAAGAAAACCAAGCAATGACTATTTTTGTAAATTTCAGAGTCATTTCGTTAGGCTTACTGAACATCAGCTAGGCACAAGTACTGTGCCAATGTGTAGGACTCAAGGAGCCAATCCTGCCTTCACGGAGTTCATCATCTATTTATTGGAGATCAGATTAACTCATAGGAAACAATCAGGTTTAGGGGTAATTTTACAGAGTCCTGCTAATGGTAGACCAAAATGACCCAGAGAATCAGGACAGGGAGTTTTCTTTGGGTTAGAGAGGCCAGGACAGTGTTCACAGAGGGTGCCGAAGGAGAGTGAGGAGGGTTCAAGAGAGTGAGGGTCATTCCTCGAAAGGAAGGAAGAGAGGATATTACAGAATGTGAGAAGCGCCCAGATGACACCGCCTGGCTTAGGTGATATTTCTGTAGGACAACGTGGAGAATGGACTGCCGGTACACAGGCTCTGGGAAGTTTGGGATGACTTTAGAGCTCAGAGAGGGTGGAGAGCCTATCTTTTGAAAGTGATGGAAAGACAGATCACTCCCAATTAGCCTCCAGTGTAAGTCAGATTTTAAATATATAATCGGGGGCGCCTGGGTGGCTCGTCGGTTAAGCGTCGACTTCGGCTCAGGTCATGATCTCACAGTCTGTGGGTTCGAGCCCCACATCGGGCTCTGTGCTGACAGCTCAGAGCCTGGAGCCTGCTTCCGATTCTGTGTCTCCCTCTCTCTCTGGCCCTCCCTTGCTCATGTTCTGTCTCTCTCTGTCACAAAAATAAATAAAAACATTAAAAAAAATTAAAAAAAATATATAATCGGATTTGTTTATTTTTATTTCTCTTTTTAAAATCAGGTTTGTTTAAAGCCAGGCACACACGTATTGGTGAAATGGTAGTTTGACAGCTCCCAGGGGCACCAAATACCAATCTGTGCTCTCAGACACCACGTAGAGCTTCCACATTGGACCAGTTGGGATGGCAAGTTTTCACCGGGTTGCTGAATTACTCTAGGTCTGTTCAACCACTCGGTCCATTGTGTGCCCTGCCTTGCATGTGAGTCCAGAGTGCTCTGGGACTCCAAAGGTAGAGATGGTGTGTATGAAAGAGGGCTGGAAAATACCCAGTCAATGGGAACTCTCTGAACCTTCTGCCCAATTTTGCTGCAAACCCAAAAATGCTCTAAAAAATTAAGTCTCTCTAGAAAAAAATACCCAGTCATCCCATTTACTGGAACTTTAAGGGAATGGTCTGGTTTCACCACCCGCCCATTCCTATCGTACAAAATCACATTTTATTGACAGTTGGGAGCCCAGCTCAAGTCTGACCTCCCAGGATCTTCCACAATCTGGAAGGTCCTGGAGGAGTGGGATTTGATCTCTCTTGGTAGAGTTACAGATCTGGGGAATCTGATTGCATCTGGCCTCCTGCCCGATTCAAATCAAGCCCGTCCTGATTTCTTTCAGGTGGGGGGGCACACATGTCAGCGCCTATTTTCATGGTTGACTTAAATACCATACTGTTTCATTTTGGTTAGAAAAGCATTTATCTAAATCAGCATTTAGAAGCAGGGTAGACCAGGGAATATTGGCAGACAGATATTGGCAGATGGGGAGGTGCAGCAGACCCTAACCTACTAATGAGACACGGGTCCAAACGTGTCTTCGTTCCTTTATGTTGCTATGTTCACATTGCTTGGCTCTTTCCTTCCCATAACCTGCAGCTTGTCTGGAAAGGCATTAAGTTAACCTCCACAAAACCTCTTTGAGGTTTTTACATAAGCTAATTTGGCATCGGCAGGCAAAAAATGATGGATAATAAACTATGTCCAGGCGTGTACTGGATGCAAAGAAAAGCATGAGGGGTTTATACAAGAATGCAACGCTGGTCTAAACAGCAAAGCCACCTACATAACACTGTGTAAAACGAAAGTGAAAAAAAAAAAGCAGTAAAGCCCGGAGCCTCTAAAACAGCTCATTGTATAAAGCGTATTGAGATACACACACAAGATAGGAAGGTTCAAAGACATTTAACTATAGAGAATGTTTGTGGATTAAATAATTGTTGAGTGTGAACTCTGACCCTATGCATGGAAGATTAAAGATTGTTACTTTCTGGGGGCGCCTGGGTGGCTCAGTTAGTTAAGCATCCGACTTTGGCTCCGGTCATTGTTCTCACTGTTTGTGAGTTCCAGCCCTGCATGGGGCTCTGTACTGACAGCTCGGAGCCTGGAGCCTGCTTGGGATTCTGTGTCTCCCTCTCTCTCTCTGCCCCTCCCCCACTTGTTCTCTCTCAGTCTCTCTCTCTCTCAAAAGTAAACAAATTTTAAAAAATGATTCTTACTTTCTTCCCTGGTATTTACATCCTTTTATGACTGTTTCCCCCCTGTCTGATTACTATACACTATGTAGACCAACAGTAAATGTAAAATTTAACTACAATACCAGTCACTATGAAGGAAAAAAAGAGATGCATAGAAATTGACATTACATTCACTTAACATTTTTCTTAAACTTACACTTTTAAAAAAGAAACCCCAAACAAAATTCCAGCCAACTCTGAATTTCCTAGAGAGAACACTGCGGTGAAACCAGTGGCTCGAAACCTCCCCAATAAATAATTTAATATGACAAAGGAGTAACCAGGAATCTTTCATTTCTCCATTTGTTCGGTTTCCATATGCCAGCTGTAAATTAGAAAAACTTCATTCTTTTGAATCTTTGTTAGAGGTTTCCTCAGGAAAGCACATACATAACAAAGCCACACACCCCTAGAGGTATTGGAATTTCATTGCCTGGGATTTACATAAGGCTACTTCCAAGGCAGGGACATGGAAAAGTGAAAGCATCGGGCATATGTGCACATGAAGGGCAAGTCCATGAAAGATTCTGGAGAAATACAGATGTGTCTTATACCTCCAAGGTATTTGAAACCCCGTAGGACCACAGAAAGCAAAATGGCACTCGCGTATCAGAGGAAGTGCTCACTTTTGTTAACACAAAGTATAACATCATGTTAATCTAATCACTCTGTGGGGAGATCTCAACTTCAGCATTTCCTTGCACTTTTCAGGCTCAGGCATATAAGGGCATGGCTGGCACACTGGCAGTTTGGGTTTGACAGCCTGCTGGGAAGGGGGACAAACGAAGTCTGCTTATATATCTCTGGGCCTGTCTGGGAACTGGAGTAGCCTCATAGCAATACATTGACAGAGGAAGGAGAAGGAGCCGGGTGAAGGCTTCTCCCCAGAATCCTGGGGCACCTGGGTGGCTCAGTCTGTTAAGCAGGTTAAACGTCTGACTTCGGCTCAGGTCATGATCTCACGGTTCCTGGGTTCAAGCCCTGCATAGGGCTCTGTGCTGACAGGTCAGATCCTGGAGCCTAGAACCTGCTTCGGGTTCTGTGTCTCCCTCTCCCTCTGCCCCTCCCCTGCTCGTGCTCTGTCTCTCTCTGTCTCTCAAAAATAAATGAACATTAAAAAAAATTTAAAAACATAAAGTGCCCCGGAATCCTGAGAAAAGCGTAATGGTAATGGCTATTCAAATGCATCCTTAGTCCCATTCCCTGGTGCAAGCCTGTTCCTAGGCAGAGAGAAAAGGCACCAAGTAAAAACAAAGAGGTCAATGTATGAGGCTAAGTGCAAGGAGCCAGATGCCAAAGGCTATATACTGTATAATTCCATTTATATGAAATGTGCGGAATAGGCGAATCCATAGTCACAGAAAGCACATTAGTGATTGCAGAGGCTGGGGGTGGGGGCTGGG